TAGTGCATTCGTTTATTTGTTATTATCCATGCAGCACTAACACAATAGGTCTATACGCCAAAGTGGATCAAAATAAAAAAAAAATCAAACAGCACTTGCAAAATTATAGAATTTTTTATAATTTTACATAATTTACATAGAGCATATGTTTATTACACTGAAAACCCTTTTGAGTGGATAGCCATTGTCAGCCAATTTATGTTTATTAAAGAACGTCACTCAACCAATAGAGTTAAGTTCTAACAAATAATACTAAAATAAAAAAAATTCGTTTAGAAAAAAACTAACCATTCAGGAGAGAATTCTTTGAATAGAAGTGTCCATTATCAAAATTTCCATAGTTAATTAATATTTAATAAACTGTCAAAGATCTTATATTAATAATAAGATATATAGTAGGGTTTTTGTATTCACTTTAAACCACATCTGAGTCAATATACATATAAAAATCAGGTTGTAAAATAATAAATGAATAAATTTATTACTTTCAAATAAATCTGGACGTGGACAAAACTAAGGCCACTTTTATAACTAGGCCACTGCAGATAAGAAAATGAATTGGAAAGAATATGTAAAAAGCGAAAGACGTACATTTATGGAACGATCTTTCAAACATCTACTAAAAGAAAAACTGCATATCAATAACAAAACATCATATCATCAGTTCAGAATAATTTCAGTTGCTAGCCATCACTGTTATCCAAATTTTGGCATTGAGCAATATACTGAGGGCATGGCTTTGTAACCATAACATATGGTTATGAGGCCCTGACTAAGCTCCAGAACGTGGAGTTTTGATCACAAAGAAAAAGTACACAGTTTGATAATACTATATAAGTAACTTTGTCGAACAAAATACGTAAGGGAGAGAAGAAGAGCATATTTTATTGCTTTACGATCTTGCAGATCCCTACTTAAAGAAAAGCTAAGTATTAGTAATAAAGCATGATCATATAATCAGTTTAAAAAAAATTGTATTACAATGTATTATTCAGTAGTCATAATAGTATAGAAATGCATAGATTTAATCATCATTAAATTCGAAAATAAGTTATTTCTTATAACTAGAGCTTTTCTATTAAAAAAAAATGTCCTTCAGTTCATTTTTCATCCGCTTTCCTTTCTTCGCCTCTCTTTCGCTCTACTCTTCTTTCTTTTTGTTCTTTTTCTTCTCTAGTACTTACTCTATTTCTGCAGAATATTAAAGATTATTTTAAACGTAATGAAGAAACTATTTTCTAGACTGATTTCATGTTTACAGGAGTTATCTAGGAGTTATACTAGTTGGGATTATACTAGTTGATACATGTACTATTATTCATTGGAATAATAGTATATGTATCAAAACTAAGAAGGTTAACCCAATCTAAGATTAATTAAATAATAAAAGGATTAATTTTCTAAGTGCAGAAATTTTAATTTTAAAACTTTATTGCTATAAACTAAAGATTCGAATTTATAAGATTTACGTTGAATTAAATTGAAAGTCAAGATTTTAAAACAATTCTACTAAAACTTTTCTACTAACAGACTAGCTCCATGTGTAAATTATAAAACTTATTTTCCATGAAAACTTTATCGCTTTGTAACTTGTCAATCACATTTGGAACGACACACACCTGTCATGTTTTACTGCAATGTGTCGCCATTTTCCTCGACTCTAAATGTATCGAAACTCGAGATACATTCGAAGTTAAAAGTTCAGCTTTTTTCTAGTTTCACTAAACAACAAAACTTAATTCAAAAGTTGACGCATTTGCTGAGTTACTTTCATTTCATCCATTTATATAAAATTTTAGATATACATTCATATATATCAATATGTAACATACATAGATATATGCAGTTACTCGTAATGCTATTGACACATAATGCTATTGACTTTTACAATTTAACGTATCTGGAACTTTGGCAAGGACTTTACTTTCATCATATGTTAAAAGTTCGACTTAATATCAAAAAAAATTATGCTTAAGGAAAAATGTTATTAAATTTGTATTTTATTAAATACTAAATATATAATGTATACAGCATACTGCTTTTAAATAGGATATTTTAAAGATTATATAGTTTTTTAAATGAAAGTCTTCAGTAATCATATGTTTCTATATTCTACTCTAGACATGAATAGTTTTTATTGCAACCAAACTTTAATGATTTAAAATATCAATCATTCGGAATTATTCATTATCGTCAATAAAAACTGTGAACTCAAAACTGAGTACTCAATTTTAATTTAATTTAAAATATAGCAATCTTTTTCTATTTTCTTTACTTTTTAAAATTTTTTTTTTTGATTTGTTTGTAATTCAATCCCAAAAAACTTTATGCGGTTTCTAACTACTAGAGTTGGACTTTTCCAACTGTTGATGACCAAACTCAACCGCTTTAAAACCACTCGAAACTCATTCTGCATCAATTCAAAAGTTTTTAAAACTATTCAGCAATTGCATAAATATTCGCTTCTGAATTTGCAACGTGGAACAACAACAATTATAATTGTAAAAAAATATCAAACTCAGATACAAATTTTTATCTAAATTTGTGTTTCTATAATCGGTATTATTGATAACCTCTATTACCTACCACATTTCTGTAGGCTCCATGTCACGTAACCCAATATCACCCAAACTTAAATTTAACTCCTTAATGGATATCAATACTCAAGCACTTGAGTACTTATACCAAAGCTTGATATAAGTGTAATACCCACTGTTGTGACAAATAGTGTACATAATAGAAAATGATTCTAAGATAAAGTATTAGCTTGCAGATCTTACTTCGTCTAATAGCGTACTGTAATATATTGTGTTATCAAAAATCGCAACTGAATCCAAGTTGATTCCTTTACTCAAGCGAGATGTCTAATATTTGTAAGACACCAGTTACCCACACCATACCACTTTCTAAAATATGACGAAGATTATGCCAAGAAGATCTGAGCCCCGTTCGTCTCAGCCATATAATCACCAAACTTTTTTGGCACACATTTCAAATCTTTTTGAAAAATCTGAATATGAAAGATATGTGATTTCTTGGTAAGCATGCTTTAAGCATTTTTACTGAGGGATCTTAAACAAGTACTGGTATAGACAGTGGAATTCTCTCTGTAGAACTGCATAAATCCTCTCACTACAGGTTTCCAAATTATTGTAGTGTTGTAAGAAAAAAACAGCTGTTTTGATATGTCTTGCTTCTCATGTGCATCTGATATGCTGCAAAAACAGCTGTTTCATTTTGACGTTGCATTCTTGCAATTTTAGTGGAGTATTCTTGTATCTCGTGTACATTGCAATGACTTTGCAAGACAGAGTGAATATTCCTGTTGTTCTTACCTAAACTGTAAACTTCTAACAATTTATATGTCAGGTTGTTGTCATTTATATTTTCTCTCTCTTTTTTCCTTAAAGCTTTAAGTAAGGCGGTTGCAATGAGAAAATGTAGGATACTAATTAAACATATATGTATATTAAATATTGGAACTAAATAATCTCTTTAGCTTATTTTTAATAGCTTTTAAAATTTGTCTTTTAGTGGTCAGTGAAAGAATCTGTTGTTTTCATTTTTCGTTTATAATTTTTGGATGGCATTAGGTCAGGAAACCTCTTTTAATCGTAAAAAGACCAAATTATTCATAAAAAGTCAATGACATTCAGTCCAAAGTGTTATACCTTACTTCTTTTTATAAACTGACTAAGGTGTGAACTGTGGACCCTTGAGTTAGCACAAAGTAACATATTATATATATTACTTTGCGTATACAAACCACCAGAAGGCATGGATGCTCAATGTGAAAAATTCATCTTTCTTGATTGAATTTTTTTTTTCCAAGTATCATTTAAAATTTTATTTATTTATTTTTGTACCAAAAAAATGTATTCTCCTGCAATAATTTCTATTTAATATATTTTTTATATACCCAACATTTTTTAATTTTTCTTAAAATAAATTTATTAATAATACTTTGTATTGCTCACAATTATTTAACTGTTTCCTTTGATTACAAAAAAAGCACTATTTTCAAAATTAATTTCGCCATTTAAATATTCAAAATACCTTCAAAAATTCATAGCTCTTCAAAAAGTAAAAACAATCTAAATGCATTTCAGGCTATATACAAAGTGACCCATATTCCGTTCCGGAACAGAAGTGTTCTGAACTTAACGCATCGATTGTGTCAACTGAGTGGATTGTGGTTTTGAAACAAAATGTCAGCTACTGGTAAAAAGAAAAATATATAATACAGGGGGTAGTGCAAAAAAAAAGAAAAGTATATAATAACCAAAAGGGAAACTAATTCGTTTGGACATTTTATTTTTTTGCCGCTCTACACTGCCATCTTCGACAAGTACTCTTCCACTTCCAGTTGCACAACAATAATTGCAATTACTACTACTAGAAAAAAAAATTCGACCATGGCCACTCGTAGCATTTAAGGGGGACCATGCCAAATTGTGTCCATTGTTTGATGCAGTTACATTGTTGAATCATTTTGCAACCATGACAGTTTTAATTACTGAACTTTTGCTTGAGGCATTTTTGGGTTACGTTATATATACAGTATATATGTATATATATATATTGTTTATTTTTTTTAATTTTTGCGATATTTTAGATAAAAGTTTTTCATTTAACCATTCATAGTTTCACCTTTTCCTTTTGGAATTCTACTTATTCTCGTTGCTCTTTTGACTTAGTTTTGCTTGGATCTACCGCACAGATTTTTGACATCTTTTTCACAACAATTGCATTTTTTTGAAGCAATTTACTCGTACCTGTGCTTTTCTATTTAATTGCTTATCTAGCTGACATTGCTTGATGATATAATCTTTTCTTGTTCTGGGACACGAAAAATTCAATTAAATAACAATTAATACGATTTTGCAGAATTCAACAGGAAAATTTATAACCATTTGAATATAAAATAAAATTAGTACAGAATGTCTTCAACTTTATTGAAATCTGTATTATTATTATATAAAATATATACTTGTTTTATATTTTCCCAATTATTTAAGTTCTTACGGGACGTATAGCCATATTCACAGATTTGTATAAACTAGAAAAGCCATGCCATTTATTCCAAACAATACCTTTCGTTTCTTCATCATAAACACCATTTAAATTGCTATATTTAAAAAAAAATAAATTTTAACAATAACCATATATTACTGTGTAATATGTTATATCTTACCTTTCGATGCACTTATTAAACCACCATCCACTCTGATATATAACAGCACAATCTTTCGTAATATCATTATCATTGTCAACATCAGTAGTTGAAAATTTCATATCGACATGTTTTCTTAGTGAGTCTCCTGCATCTCCTGTGTACGCACCAAGCATACTGAGTGTATATTGTGCATCTTCATTTTCTATAGCAAACCCACTATAGTAGGCAGTAACATTTTTTCCCTCT